CATATACACACACACACACACACACACACACACACACACAATTTAGTTCTTGTAGGATCTAGATTGATTTGAGATAATTTTTAACTGCAGTACAAATTATGTCTTTCAATCTTATCTTGGGAGATATATACATTTGTATAATCTCCAGGAGACTGATTTCAGTTTCTATTCCATGGTCTAGTCCGATATATATTTAATTTGATTGGTGGAAATGTTTCTTTACTTTGAATATAGTCTTGGCTTATTGCCAATCCTGTGCATGATGGGACAAATCTTGCCCATGTGCTGTTAAAAGTATGAGTTTGTGAATATCTGTTGCTGGGAGAAGTCACATGTCAATTCTGAACCTTTTGTTTTCTTATTCTGTGAGCTACTGATAAGCAACCCATTGCATTTAAAAAGTAATTTTCATTTGGTTACATTTTATGCATTACCTGGGTTATCAAATTGATTGATCTGATCCATATTCTTTGTTTATTACCAATTATATTTGTATTGTTATTCTGCACTGATTTTTAATTAATTTGTAATTAATAAATATATATATTTTGTATACCTTTATATTCCTGTTGTCGTCAAGTCAGCGCAAATAGAAGAACTCGTGTAAATTTTGATTTATAGAAATAAGTTGGGAATCTCCTTAATTACAGATCCTTATTTGTTTCCATAAACAGAAAAAACTGTATATCAGAGCAGTATAAACATTCTGACAGTACCAAGACGTTTGCTGTACATGCATTATTAGGGCAGCCCCATGTACCAATATGGCCACTGTTAGCATACTGAGCCTGCTCCAGTGACAGGACCTCCAGGCCTGTCTCATAGCTGTCCAGAGCAGTGCATACAAGCTGCTGGGATTGCTTGGGCACACAAGTATGAAGAGACACATTTTGGGAAACTTGGCTAGCAGTGGGGGGTGGGAAAAGATAAAACCCAAGGTGTTGCACAGAATTTTTGTGTGTATTTCAATTTTTTAGGATCAGCACCCGTGGACACCAGGGGTATCCAGGAGGGGGGATAGGGGCATAGACTCGACCAGTAGCGTCTGACACCCAACAAAAGGTGGGGGGAACGTCCACCGATCCTCAGCTTTGCTCCCTTCAGAGAAGCATATCCCCTCTTCCAGGAGGGGATTTTCAGGAAAGTGGTCACACCAGTGTGGATAGGTCACTGCCCTGGCCTGTACAGTACCCTGCAGCAAATTCAATGTGCTGCACTAATGCAGGATCCAGTGCCTTGAAGCGGCATTGCAAGCCAGCCCCACATGCTCAGTCCTGTGGGGTCCGGGTATGGTCCATAGCTGCTGCTGTGGGGCACAGATTTTGAAGCCGACACAGCGGAGATCTTGATCTCTGTACCAATGGGTTATACTGCCACTCAGGAATAGGACGCTAGACAAAAAAGCAGCTCGGCTCTGGGGCAGCTTCTGCTGGTGGCCACACCCCCATCCAAGGCAGCTCATTTAGTCACAGAGCAATAGAACTAAGGCACAAAAAGACCCAAAGAAGAAGGGTGCTGTTTCCTTCAATGAATGCAGAGAAACAAAAAATCCTATTTTCTCTTTCGTTCATTGAAGGACCCAGCAAAAATCTTGATCTCAGTATCGATGGGACGTCTCAAAAAAAAAAAAATTGATCAACAAAAAAACCCTTTTAACAAACTAAGCAGCCATCTGTAAAACTTTACGACTAAAGGAAACATCCGCAGATGCAACATCAACTCTACAGGAACGAATAAAAGGGTGTGCCGACTAGCCAACTTACAGACTTGAGAAACAGGCGCTTGATGTTGTAAAGCCTATGGGAGGTGCCAACCACACAAGTAGAATATCCTCATTGAAATGAAAATCACATACTGCCTTAGAAAGGAAAATCTAGGACCTTATCTTTATGTAAATGTAAATCAAAAAAGAAGGTTTACAATATAAGGCAGTGATATCACCTTCTGTGACAAATTTAATAAAGGGATATCACAAATACTCTCAAAAAGAGAATTCTGTAAAACCGAAAAAAAAAAAAATTTCAGTTCCACCTAGGCACAAGAGACTTGGCTGGGAGGAGAAACATGCAAAACGCCTTGAATTAAAAAAAGGTACAAAACCAAGAAATTCAAGGCTATTAGATGCTAGAAAAAGATTGCCAATGCCGAAACCTGACCGTTACAGCTAACGAAAGGCTAAATTCTGAGCAACCAAAAGAAATGCAGGCTTTCCAGGTCGAGGATATAATTTCAGAGCGGTAAACTTAATTGCTTTAAGCATCGCAGGGATCACAAATTCAGACAATCCCCTATCTCTCAGCACCTGGCTTTCAATAGCCTTACCGTTAAAGCCAGAGACTGTAAAGCAGGATGCAAGACTGGACCTTGGTACAAAAGTCCAGTTGAAGAGGTAGTCACCAAAGGACGTCTTACAACTAGCCTCACCACATCTGTTTACCAAGGGTGTCGAGGCCAATCGGGATCTACCCCTTCGAGTTCCACTCGACATAGGAGGTTGTGGAAGAAGTTGTGGAAGAAGTTGTGGAAGTAACTAGCCTCACCACATCTGTTTACCAAGGGTGTCGAGGCCAATCGGGATCTACCCCTTCGAGTTCCACTCGACATAGGAGGTTGTGGAAGAAGTGGTGGAAGAAGTTGTGGAAGAAGTTGTGGAAGAAGTTGTGGAAGAAGTTGTGGAAGAAGTTGTGGAAGAAGTTTGAGGAGGAAAGGAGTAAACGAGATTGTAGCTGTACACAGCGCCACCAAGGCATGTCGCATTCAGGCACAAAGTTCCTCACTTCCCGATTGAATTGGGAGGCTAGAAGATCCACGTTTGGAGTTCCCCATGTCTGACAAATCTAAAGAAAAACTTCAGGATGTAGAGCCCTGTCAGACACTGTCCTGCTCTCTTGCTAGGCTCCTCACACCTCCTTGATGATTGACATATGCTACTGCTGTGGCATTGTTTGAGTCTTCCGGTAGTAGAGTTGTGCAATGTAAAAGAGAGTTTGATCGCATGCAACCTCCTGTTCATTAGAGCAGGGGAACTGAGCAATCAAGCCAAGGAGGCTTTGACTGTCCAGTTCAGCTGCATTTGTTTGTCCAGCGAAGAGGGTGACTTCTCGTTGAAGAATTTCTCTCTACAGAATCAGAGTATGGTGTTGCACACCAATCTGTCAACTCTTTCGCCGCCAAGTCCTCTAGAACGCTTTTAACCTCAGCTGGCCACACCATTTTTGCAATTTTCCCCATTGTTTTGATTTTCTATTGCTGCGTTGCTAGCGTTTGTAAAAAGAACCCCAAACCATATATTTTCAAAAAGGACAGGCTCAGTAGAATAAAAAGATGGTGCTACTAATTTTGTAGGTCCTGCGATAATTGCGCAGATGTTTATCAAATCAATATTAAACTGATAAAAATACACAATTACATTGATAAAAAGCACATTAAAATCAGTATCCGGTCACACAAAAAATGCTTTTCCAACTAAATCTAAGATAAAAGCTGTATTGAGTTAATAACAAAACATCTGTACATTTCAAATTACGTCTTTTTGCAAAACAAAATAATTTTTTTACGCGAAATTGTAAATAAGCAACTTATGTTAAAAATCTTTGTGCACTGTGTTGGTGTGTGTGCATTGTAATAAAATGATACATGCGAACATTTAAGCGCAACACAGCGTATCAACAAACAGCATGCGTCACAACCTCACTGCCAAAGTTAAATTAATGTTATTTTAAAAAGAAGAAAAAAAATCAAGCACTACGATGTGTTCTAACAACGTACCGCAGCGCATGTACATGGTGTACACCACAATATAGTGCACACTGTTATACGTGTGTGTTGTTATCTGTGTGGGGGGGGTTTAACTCTTGGGGAGGCTTCGGGGAAAAATAGACCTGACATTTCCTTTTTGAAATAGAAAAGGAAATGGAGGACTCTTTCTGCAGCCTCTGTTTTAAATGAATGGAAAGCACTCGGTACAGAGCCTGCCCATTCATTCAGAAACTGGTGCTAGTAAAATATTTACAATCAACTAGTTTCTGAATACCTAGTGAGTGCTTCTCCCAATTGAGAAACCTATGGATGAACAGGAACACATAGTACCCGTGTTCCCAGTTGTTTACAAACACTGGAGTGATCAGCCCCGCCTCCCCGCTTGGCCACCCTGACAGCAGGCAGCACTCCCTCCTCCCCAGCTAAAGCGACCATGAGCTTATAGCAGAAGGGAGAGGGAGAGGGAGAGGGAGAGAGAGCATTTACTATTATTTGTACTTTTTGAACTTCCTAATATATATCAGATTTTTGTATACTATTTATGTTACATGATTTGGATATACATATTTAAAATCTCAAGCTGTTTGATGTGCCTAATTTATTACTTACCATTTATAATATTTTGAGGCTATTCCAAGGAAACCCCCATTTTGTGCTATCAAAAACTTTCCTACTAGTTGCAGCTTTTCTGCCCATGTTAAATTAGGTTTTAACGCTTGTGCATGTCCTGGTATTACTGTTTACTGTGAAGGGCAATCCTAGAAGGTGAGTAATGCAGTCAGCAGAGCTGCCCTTTTTTTTTTACCTGGCTAGGGGGCCTTTTTCCCCTCAAAACACACAAAAGTTCAAAAAGTTCCCTCAAAGTTTAAAACTCATGTGAAGAGACCCTGACAAAAAAGACTGACTTGTTATAGGGAAATCCCCATTACTCAAGATTTTTTTAAGCACAGCCCAAATGCAACATGGTTTTCCTGAAAGAAGAATCATTTCCACATACTCAAAGATTCAATCTACCTTTTGATCCATTTTGCAGAGTGTAAAATCTGTAAATAGGTGTAAATGCAAGGGGCCTCAATGACATTTTAATGAAAAGCAGGATACTGACAGCCTATAGATTTGTTTCATGACAAGAGTCGTTCAAAATGACAATTAAAAATGCTTTCTGCGATATTTGAACGTGAAAACAATTTAGAAAAAAAAAAAAAAAAGGACCAAAGATTATAATTAGTAATGTGTATTACCTCAGGAGTTTCAGCAGGGCACACCATTCCCCATAAGGTGTTATGTAACTGTCTTGGTTTGGCAAGTTTACCATCTCTGCCTATAGGGGAATTTAATCTCCGCAAGTGTGAAAGAGTAGAGGCAAATGTCAATCTGTTCAACACCTTAAGAAGAAGAAGAAAAAAAAAAAAGATATTTAGATTGCATGTATAAGGAAAATGAATGGTTTAAAAAAAAAAAAAAAATGTCAGGCCTAAAATGTGGATTATAACATGTAAATAAAAATGAAAAAAAGGCCTTTGTCCTTAAGGGGTTAAGGAGCCCATTTTCTTTCTATTACTACGGTCAGGCTAACATGCACACTCAGACATAATTCGACACATACATCACACTCTCCAAGATAATCTTTCACACTCACTTTCTCTAAAAACATTATGGCTAGGAATGTTTACAGCTATTGCAGTCATGAGCATGTTTTAACCCTTTGATTGCCATTGTGTACCAGCGCATACCAGAAAAAGGATTCCAAGGATTAACCTTCGTGACGGGAGACGTACAGTGTACGTCCCGGCACTTTGTGCCTATATGACTGGCCACGTACACTGCATGTGACGTGTTATATCAGGCTTTGTAATGCTGGTAACAGCTGATTCTCAGCAGTTACCAGTCATTAATGAATGCCTCAGTATTGAGGCATTCATTAATGAAATTATTAAGCTTTTTGTAAAAGCTTCTTCCTTTCATTAATGAAAGAATGAAGCCGTTACATGCAAATACAGGACCGCAATTTGCGATCCCGTATTTGACAGCTGAAAATAGCAGAGAGGTACCGTGTTTCCCCGAAAATAAGACTGTCTTATTTTATTTATTTTTTTCGTGAAAAAAATTCTGACTAAAGTCAGGATCAGTCTCTAAGGTTATTATTAGCTGTTCCTAAGTTTGGATCAGCCTAATAGCGAAAAATAAATAGTGACTGCTTGATATAAACTGACAAGAAAAAAAAAACAAAATTAGGAAAATAAAAATTATGTATAAATATATTTTTATACTATAATATAAAAAAATTCTAATAAAAATAATAATCAAAACTTGGGGAAAAAAAGTGTTTTCTTCTAGTTTTTTTCCCTCATTTTATTTTATTCAAACTAAGTGAGGGGTTAGGTACACATATGTGATATAATTATATAGCCCTATCTGTCCTCTAAAAAACTATATATAATAATAATGTCTGGATACATTAAGTACAAAGTATATTACTGCTGTGGAAGAATCACACAGCAAAGATGTAAAAAGTGTGTCAGTCATTTATGAACAGAACCTGAAAACTAGCTCAGTCATGGCAGGGTTAAATAGCACCTCAACCTGTTCTTTTTTAGCCTCCCTAATCTCTTGCATATCCGCATTCAGAATAGGAGAGAGAGAGGGGGACAGCAGTGTTAGACAGCATCAAATAGTACTTGCGGATTGGAGAACAGATCACAGAGATGGCGCCTCCACTGAACGGCTATTTTCTCACTATCCAATCACAGCCCTGATATGTTTGCATTGCTTTGGCACTAGTGGAGAAAACCAACCAGGTCCAAGGCAGATAAGGCCTTTCACACAACAGAATTTAAGTGTATTTGCTTGCCTACAATGAAACTAACACCACTGTAGTCTACAGAGAGGTCGAGGACATAGTTAAGCCTGGATCATGACAATTGCTTATTAGAATTAAATACTTTAAAAGCCTGTTTGCATTGAGTTGGGACTTGCCACTAAATTTGTTTTACAAAGCACTGAAAAATCTCACCTGTGATACACCAGCTCTAGCTTGATGTGCTTTCTTTTGGTCTCCCCAATTTCCAGTAGCCAAAGAGTACTTTAAGCCATCTGAAATTATTCGAGTCTTAATTGCCAGTTCCAAATTAAAGTCTTTTCCTCGATCAATGAATTTCTGCGCATAGATCCTTACTTCTTTTAGCAAGTTTTTAAACATTCTATGAAAACAAAATAAGAAAAATCAACCTACTTTAAGTAAAAAAAAAAAAAATTAAAGTTACTGCTCAATGAGCGTGTATAAGATGGCCTATATTACCCTCTGAAGAGAAATGCAAGCAGAGGTCCAGCAAGATCCAGTCTTTTGTTTCCGTAGTGATCTCGGTCATCAAGCTCTCTCCTTCCCAAAGCAGAAAGAAGTAGTCGATGAACCATGTACCTGAAACAACGAACAAATATTTACTTACAGATCACGGTGCAATACAACCTCATATTTCAGGTGCGAAAAACACTGGACCTTTGATTAAAAAAAATTAAAACATTTTTAGGGCTGCGGAAATTAACGATTAATCGTTTAATTTTGATCGATCAAAGTTCTTTTGATCCGTACTCACCTCTCCGCCAGCTTCTGGGTCTTCCGTCGATGTCCGCAACGTCACCGGACTCCTCTGCCCTTCCACAAGTGGCTCTGTCGGCTAACAAAGGGAAGGGGGGAGGAGTCCGGTGACGTCGATGTCTGACTTAATAACGTGCTGGATTATTGTGATCCTAGTTAAATGTTATTACTTTATTGCTGTGCTGTATGTGTATAGGCCAATGTAGTTTGATCTGTACGTGCGTTATAATTAATCGCAATTAATCGATTAAAAAAATTTCGATTAATCGAACAGGAAAATTTTAATCATTACCAGCCCAAAAAAATTTGCATATGTCCAGCAAACCTGGTTGCAACAGCGGTTTCAGACACAAGGTGAGGGAAACCTCTCCCACAGCAAGACAGAATTTTTTCTTTAACTGAATACGGAAGGATCTTTACTCATCACATTCAAACTTTCAGAACTCAGGGCCTGTTCACATGATATCAGGTCCGGATCAGGTGCAGATCTGCAGACGCGGTGCTACTGATGCAGTGCGTTTTTGCCGTGTTTTCGATGCGTTCAGTTTAAAAAAAAAAAAAAAAAAACTGAGTGGGGTTGGCAGTTTGTTAGGTGCAGTGCGTTTTTGACCGTACAAAAATGTGACATGCAGTCGTAACCTGAACGGACTGCGCACGTGAGAACTGTAGCCCATAAAACACATAGGGATACATTGGAATGCATTTTTAGTGCAGGAACGTACGGATCAGGTCAGCACAGAAAACGGACGTCGTGTGAACAGGCCCTAAATCTGATATGTGGCAGCGAGAAACTACTTTTTTTGATAGCTTTAGAATTTCTTTGCATGAAAAGCGGCAAGGAGGGTCATTACAGCATCATGAGAATTCCAGGATCATCAGATTACAAACAAAAAAGGTAGAGAACTACAGCAATATCTGGATGATAGAGATATAGTGCCTACAGTGAAACATGGTGGTGGCAATGTCCTTCTGTGGGGCTGCATGAGTGCCGCTGGTGTCCAGGAGCTGCATTTCATTGATGGTATCATGAACTCAGATGTACTGCTCTATATTGAAAGAGAAGATGCTACCATCGCTCCGTGCCCTTGGCTGTCGTGCACTTTTCCAACATGACAATGATCTAAAACACACATCGAATAGCAACTATGATCTCATGTATACTGGCCAGTTTGAATTCCAGGCTATCTAGAATGACCGCTACTGCACTGCTCGCTGAAAACAAAGGCAATCAAACCCTACCCCAAAAAGTAGGCTTTTTTAGTCTCGCAAAAGTCACTGACACCAACGTGAGGAAGCATTTCTTTCTGAAGAACTTCTTTTGCATATTTGATTCTTTTTTCTTTTGTGACGCCAGGCTTTGCTCCCCTGGAACCTTTACATACACACATACATACACACATACATACACACATACATACACACATACATACACACATACATACACACATACATACACACATACATACATACATACATACACACACATACATACATAGCTCAAAAAAATGAAAGGAACACTTTTAATCATAGTATTCAGAGTATAGCATCAACTAAATTAAACTCCTGGGATATTGATCAGGTCAGTTAAGTAGCAGAGGGGGTCATTAATCAATTTCAACTGCTTTGGTGTTAATGAAATTAACAACAGGTGCACTAGATGGGCAACAATGAGACGACCTCCAAAACAGGAATGGTTTTACAGGTGGAGGGCCACTGACATTTTTTCACTACTCATCTTTCCTAAAGGTTTTTCACTAGTTTTGCATTTGGCTAGAGTCAGTGTCACTACTGGTAGCATGAGGCGATACCTGGACCCTATAGAAGTTGCACAGGCATGCCAACTCCTCCAGGATGGCACATCAATATGTGTCTTTGCCAGGTTTGCGGTGTCTCCCAACACAGTGTCAAGAGCATGGAGGAGATTCCAGGACACAGGCAGTCACTCTAGGAGAGCTGGACAGGGTCGTAGAAGGTCCTTAACCCATCAACAGGACCGGTATCTGTTACTTTGTCCAAGGAGGAACAGGATGAGCACTGCCAGAGCCCTACAAAATTACCTCCAGCAGGCCACTGGTGTAAATGTTTCTGGCCAAACAATCAGAAACAGACTTCATGAGGGTGGCCTGAGGGCTTGACATCCTCTAGCGGGCCCTGTGCTCACGGCCCGGCACCATGCCTATGGACATAAACCCATTTACATATTCTTAACAAGCAGTAAAAAAAAAAAAAAGCTTTAAAGCAAGCCCTTAAATCACCACTCTAGTTGATTTTAATGTGAAGTTTATTCATTCTCAGGAGGTCCTCAAAGATCACAACCAAGACTTTGAAGTCAGGTTTCAGTGGGTTTCTAGCAAAACCTAGTTAAACATGGTGTTTAACCCCTTCATGACCAAAGCATTTTTTTAATTTAATTTTTTTCGTTTTTTGCACCCATGTTATATTCCATATTATACGCCTGAAAATTAGTTCAAACCCCCAAAACATATTTTCTAAATATTAGCGCAAATTATCAAACCCAAAAACGTGAAAAAAGCACTTGTTAAATTTAGTGCCCACAAACCCCAAAAATACTTATTGTTTTAATAAAATATAAAAGATGAGGTTACAACGAGTAGATACCCAACATGCCCAGGTAAAAAATTGTGCGTTTGTTAAACAACAACAAGATTGAGCCCCAAAAAGTCCGTAGACAACGCTTTAAAAGCCCATACAGGCAGAGGCGGCGCTACCACACAGGCAACACAAGCGGCTGCTTTAGGGCGCTGGTGGGGGAGGGCGGAAAAACAGCGCCTCACCCATACACAGGAGCAGCACAATCGACGGGGCTCTGCGCTTCAGTTTCCTATAGTCAGAGCCCTGCCCACAGCTCCCTCTGCTAGTCGATCCACCACGGACTATCAATATTCTACCGTCTATATCTAAAAGTTTGTGCAAGTCAGGTAGTTGTAATAGTAGCTGCCTGGGAACTGGAATTAACCTTTACTGACCAACGCATTAGTAGAATGGTTCAGCTTATCCATCAAGCGTCTGTTACGAGAGCAATTTAAGAAACTTGTTTTGTTTTAAGATTAGAATATTGTATAGATTCTGTCCTGCAGTGCTCGCCTCTCTGTTGGAGGTATCTGAAACACGAGGGATCCTTGCTTCATGTATTTTGGAGCTGTCCGAGGTTGCAGGGATACTGGGGCACAGTGTGTAATGTTATCAATGATCTTACAGAGATCCAATTGGGAATAGATCCTGTGAAATATCTCCTCCATCTGGCCCCCCTCTCTATAAAACTTTATAAAAAATAATTTGCCTTTACACCGCCTAAATGCAGCTAAAGCCTGCATCACACTATACTGGAAGCAGACATCACCTCCTCCTGTGTGGCTGTAGTTGAGGAAGGTAGAGGAAATTAAAACCATAGAAGATTTGAGGGCAGGTGGGAGGACCAGTTTCACAGGACTTAGGTTTTACCGGAACAAATTCCTCCTTACTCTGGAATAAAGGGGTCTGTGTGAAGCTGTGCCGTGATTGCCCCTTGACACCTTTATATTCATTTTAGCCCTTTATCTTCAGTCCCCCTCACACCACACTCCTTTTTTTCCCCCCCTCTCCCCTTCCTCCCTCTACTACTACTCATCCAGGCTTCCACTATAGTTTCTATTGTTTATGCTCTTCCCTTCACTTTTATGTGCTGCTCCTGGGTGAGCCCATAGGCCCACGACTATTACGCTTCTTATTGGACTCCCGCCTCCACCCATGTGCTTTGATGAGTTACTGTGAATGAATGCTAAACTTTGGGCTATCAATGCACCAGGTCACTTACATAGCCCCAAATCTACGGCGCTAGCTTGTAGTATCTTATACGGCCCTACACCTTAGAGTGGAAGTCAGGGTTCTTGGTCTGGGATTTCGCCGAATGTGAGGCGGTCTATTCAGGAACAAAATTACTACAGCACTTTTATCTGTACACTTCTTTTCACCTCTTATATTGTTGATGTACTTCACTGTTCAGACTTTTTTTTTTATTTACTACCGTTTTATTTCTTGTTCTATAAAAAAAAAAAAAATTGTGAAAATTATATAAAAAAAAACCAACAACTGATTGTCAGTAAGGCCATCCATGCAAAAGCATAGGGCCCCCAGAAGCAACTCCAGGTGGAGCAACACCTCTGGATCTAACAAGATGGAACTCCAGTCACTCCCCAAAGGACTTGTTCAGACAGGCAATGGCTGCATTAACCTCCAGAGCCACCCACCTTTAAAAGGAAGGACTCCTCTAAACTGTAACCCAAAGTGCTTGAGAGGAAAATACATTTTTGAGTGTAGGCAAATCAATCACTAAGCATTCTCCTGCCTGCATTAACAGCATGTTAATAGGGTCATGCATTTTCTGTGACTGGGAGGGGGGGG